ACAAAGCTCCAGTGCAACAGTTTCAGCATGGAGAATTCAGCCAGAGGGGAAAGTAGACAAGATCTGGATTATTATTTCCTGATATTTGGGCATCTCGCCTCCGACTGGCCAACAGAAACGCAACTCTACTAATGACTCATGCTAATGGTTAGCTTCTACTAGTCGGGACATTCTCTCCTGTTTCCCGGACGTTAAACCAACAACAGTCTTCCTCGTCACGTGTCAAGATGGGTGAGTCCACGAATGTTAAGTAACAATATGATGTTGGTTTAAGTCAACCTAAAATCAGCAGGCATGTAAAATATCTGCCTTTATTCTGTTGTTGAAAAGTAAAGCTGTAATATCTCGTTAATGGGAGCCGCCATCTTGTATTTTTAGAACCAGAGGGTAAGTCACGGCAAAGCAACAAAGCTTTCCAAATTCAAAGGATAATCAAAGTGCGCCCGTCATTCCCCTAGCGTATCTTTACTAGCAAACGGCTATCCCAGGACTCACTGCAGGCCGAAGTGTTCTTGCAAAAACGGTGGACAAAGCGGGAGATGATTACAGTAATGCAAGTATATCAATATTTGGCAGTAAAATAACTAAAAGCTTAATGCTGCTGCAGGGTTTGTCCCAGAAAGTGAGTTAAAGGTGCTGGAATGCTTTTTCCAAACAAACTAGGCCTGCTAGCTAGCTTACACCAAAACGGTCCCAGAACTCTCACCCCTCCCATCAGGTATGATCAGTAGTCCACGCCCCTCCGGATATGTGAACGTGCTCTGCCACGGCGAACAACACAAAGCAGTACACCGGTCGCTGTTCACGTTAATCAATACGGCGGAGGCACCGGTAGGTGAAAAATAAACAATATAAACATCTAACTTTAATCATTTGTTTTAACTTATTCATATGGTAACGAAGTATGTTTTAAAATGTTACTTTATTGATTATTTTCAGTACAAAGAGTAATAAAAAGCATGGTAGCCTGCTAGTAAGCTACTGCTTACTGCTTGTTTTGTCTGTCAAATATTGTTGTGGCCTCTTGTTCTTTACTGAAATGGGTTCTCTTTTTTATTCTTGTGTTTATTATTGTGTTTATTCACTTAGCAGACGCTTTTATCCAAAGCGACTTACAATTTATAACCTATAGGGCATGTTGTGATCTGTGGGGGAAACCGGAGTGCCCGGAGGAAACCCACGCATGCATGGGGAGAACACGCAACTCCACGCAGAAAGGCCGCAGCCGAGTTTCGAACCTGCGACCTTCGTGCTGCGAGGCAACAGTGCTAACCACTGCGCCACCGTCTTGTTTCAACATTAGAGTTTCCATGACGAGAGCCTCGCAGGGCCTGATATAGAATACATACCAGAGCCTAGAGCAGCTGTTCGAACTGGAAAAGCTCTTCAAAAATCGCAGCAACAGTCCAGAGGGAGGAGAACCATATCAGGTGTGAGAGGACTTCTAGGAGAAAGCACACACGTTCCGCTGCTGTCTCTCACCAGTGTCAGCTGATGAAGGGCTCTAGTTTCGTTGGGCCGTTCGTGTCAGCGGTCACGGTAGGGTCGGGGGGGGGGGGGGGGGGGGGGGCTGGGCGGGGCACGACGCTTAGCCTGGCAGGTGGCCAAGCAAAGCCTGGCGGGCCGCCAGGCTTATAAAGCGTGGGGGAAGTGCTGTACTGTGCTGTTAGGCTTTTTGTTGTATCCATAAGTTGTTTATAAGTAGATTTTTGGACCATAATTCTGACAAAAATCCCCGTAAACAATTTTGTTTGCATGGCAGGTTTTTCATCATGTACTGCCACTAGATCTCTAGTTTGATCACAATACAATACTATATTGGTACAGTAGACTGTGATCCGAGGTATCAATATCATTTTGATTTCTGATGGGTAAAAATAATATCACAAGTGATTGAACACCTGTTTTCTCACTGCTCGCCACTAACTTCTTCATTTGACACGTTTAGGAATTTGCAGGAACAGCAGGTCAGTGAACCTCCAAAATAAAACAAATTTCAAAATAAAGGTGTGTTTGATAAATAGGTATTCTATTGTTGGGTTTCTCCCAGCGCTTTAAGGCTGGCGGGCGGCCAGGCCTTGCTTGGACCCCCGCCAGGCCAAGCGTCATGGACGACGCACGGTAAATGTAAGTTGTTAATATTATGTGTTATGTTGTTATTTTCTCTGTAGTAATAGTGTTTGGGATTCAGTTTCTGGACGGTGAAGGTTCAAGCCAACAGTTTGGTAATGCAACTTGAGTTTTACGTCATAATTTTTTATCAGTAACGGTAATACCGTTACTGATAAAAATGTAGAGGAAGTTTAATGGTATTAAATTTTAGATACAGGCCAAACCTAACGCCTACCTTTAAGTGTAGCTTTAACTTCTGTTTAGCGCCATCGTGGTTGCTAGGCGACATGTCGCACGCTGATGGCTAGACCGTCGAAATTCACACTTCCAGCCATAGCAGTCAAAGAAATTCGCTGCCTATGTTGACCGGGTAGAACAGGCCTTACAAGGATGCTACCCCTGAATTTGGACACAGCAAGAGTCAACAATCGAGGTGTCACGCCTACTCACTTGCACCCAATCATGGTGTTCTTTAAATATTAAATAACTAACCACAGATTTCTTTAACTCATTCACTGCCATTGACAGCTAAAGTCGTCATTTGCATTTTTTTTTTTTTTTTACTGTGTGGGCATCGGAACGAGCCCCCGCACCGTGAGAACAAACATCCCAGCTCTAAAGCCGATCTTCATCCGCGTACGTCACACGTAACATGATCAGGAAGCAGAAAATCCATGTGTTAGGAGATCGTTTTGGGACGCTGCCATAAAAAAAGTGAGGCGCGAACCGGAAAAGCTTCTGCCGATCACAATTCAACAACGGATTATGAAAGAACGGATAACGCTGGAAACAGGTGGATTCTTCCTGATGTAAGAAGTGAGTCTACTCTTTGTTTTGGTTGTTTCGGCGGTGACATCATTAGAGAGCGTAATGTTCTGTGACTCTTAAAAAACAGTGAAAATGCTGAAAAATGCTGGCAGCGAAGGGCTTTTCTGATCAGGAAACGGCTGGCAGTGAATGAATTAATCAGGAAAGCACGCCAACCAGTCTATGAACCAATCAGAGCAGACTCAGCCTTTATCCAAGGGCCTTAAAGAGACAGAAACCAACATAAAGCATCACAGAGGAATACTTCCAAGGACCAACAAGTTAGGTTATCGTTTATGCATAAATTATGGATTTTAATAACGTTCTTTTCAAATGAAATCAACAGATGTGTTAACCTATGAATAAGCAGGAAATGGGTGCTCAATGATCACTTTAACACAAAGTTCTCTGAGGTTACAAAGCACTTCTGATGCCGTGATAATCTGCAGCTAGTTTCCTGTCAAATCACCACCGAATGCACAAGTGGTTCTCGCGTGTTACGCTCTTCTGATACTTCAGACGTTTTTTAAGCTGCAACAACTTTTAGATTGGCGTGATAAAACAGTAAACATGTGGTGGTATCTCTGTGCGGCTGCTTAAATATTAAACTCGGGGGAAGCAAACACTGAGCCGTTCCCTTTCTGGCTTCTAAGAACAGGTGAATAATTACATTTAGCTAATCTGCTTCACTTGTTTTTGTCACAGTAAGGATTCAAAAAAGCTACATGTGAAAATGAACTTTATTCAGCTCAGAGCAGGTCGAGCACTCAAACATTCATTGCTAGTCACAGCAACAGCAATCTTCAGTTTAATTTCTTTCCGTGTTCGGGCCTGAGATGGACAGGAGTGTCAAACAGGGCAGGCGGCGTAATTGTAAAATCTTGGGAGCGCGACCACACACTCCACTGTTTGCCTTCGAACGATGGGCACGAAGCGCTCGCTTGTTAAAGCTTAAGTGACTGTGAAATGTGTTTGGTCTGCTAAACGACACCTTGGCAGGCGGTGATGAAGCTCGGCTCGCAGAGCAGTCAGACGAATTCATCCTTTCCGCAGGAGGACCTACAGGTCGTTGTGAGCAGATGAGTCGGTTTTGCTCGTGCAGATTTAAACACGGGAAGTTAGGATCAAGTGTTAGAAAAGATTAGTCTTGTTTCATGAAATTAGTCAACTTATCTTCTGTTTCCTTCATTTGACAGATCAGGTTAACGTAAATTAAAGATCTTATTCACTCATATAGTTTTTTTTTCAGGAGATTTGCTGTGATCTCTTAGCCTGGCAAGCCAGAATAAATAAATATATTATTTAGTCTGGCAACGCTCCATTGACGGCTCTCGGTTGTGGGGCGGGTTCTACCGTTGTCTTTCAAATGATCTCCGCATGCTACGGGACAATGAATGTGACATACTCACCGCAACAGCTATCGGTAAATGAGGCGGCCCGCAGTTGGCGAAGGAGAAAACACATCATTTTTTCTAAAAAAATGCACTTTAAATACATCCATCTGCTCCTGATTCTAATGAAGCCCAAGTTCTAATAGTCCAAAATGGATGTAAAAGCCATTTCAAACAAGCTGTCGCCATCTTGTTTCCCTCTGTTGCATCATCCCACCCACCAGGCATATAGAGTGCCCTGATTGGCCCACAAAGCGGATGAAGCTCTGTGATTTGTTCACTAAGCAGATAGAGCACTATGATTGGCCCACCATTACCGACCAATCACAGCTCTTTATGTGTCTGAAACCCCTCTAGAGAGCTGTGATTGGCGAGCCAGAATGCTGTTAGGGGCTGCGGAGGATCCAGTGGAGCGTTCCTAGACCAAACTTTGCAAAGCAAGAATTTGGTCTAGTTCACTAGGCTAGTGACCGCTAGCCATGAATGAATGTCTTGTGAATTGTTTTCAGTGAAAAAAAAAGCTCTGGCGCTCCTGTTTTCGGGAGTAGAAGTTTGTCAGAGGAGTGGGACTACGAGCCTTACTCACTAATATTCACCATATGCAAATGTGCCATCTCTGATTGGCTCACGCCTGATTTACACCGAGTAATTGTGTGTTCACTTTGTCCAACTTGAAAATCTTTTGCGTAGGAAAAATCCACTGAAACACCCCCCAAAGCTGGACCCCCAAGTCAGAAAGTCGGAGAAACTTCAAAACCCCGACCTCGACATCCAATATGGCAGCTCTCTGGATCAACCACAGTAAGTTTATTTTATAAGACACGCTTATAAGAGTGCGTTTAAAATCAGTGAGCTGCATTTGTGTTTAGTATTCATCTGTTTACGTAGAATGCTGCCATGAATTGTGAGTAAAGTGCATCCAGTGCATTTCAAAATAAAACCTATGTTGCATAATTTTTTGGGGCTTGTCTTTAATTATTAATGACAGCGATATCAGTTTACAGTGTAGGATAGTTCACGTTATTGTTACAAGTATGTCTTTAAACTTGTAATGTCAAATTCCAGTGTCAAACAAAAGTAACATGACCGAGAAGACAAGTAGGTCTTTTGCTTACCAGAATTTCTCAAAATGCGTAGTTGTTATTGCACGAAGCTCTGAGATTTGGTGCTTTTTGAAGAAGCAAATTATCTGAATGTCTGTTCACAAGCCGCAGTCCGCCCGGAGGCCGTGCAGAAGCCATGCCGCATTTGTTCCACAGTCGGTGTGAATCAGGCGTAACAGAAACTTGAACAAAAAGTACAATCAACAAGTAAAGTGGTACATTAAAGAGGCAATGTGTACTTTTTACCATTAATCTCTGGAATAATCCGTCTAAATGTTGGTGAAAATGAACAAAACGATGCTCAGTTGTTGAAAAATATTGGTGGCTTCGTAACATATAACCACAAAAACCAGGTCTAAAATACACGGGAGCTGGTCTAAGTCTCTGGGCGACGCCATATTAGATGCCATGTGTCCTTCTACAGGAGCCCGTGAAGACAAAATGCATTTTCTCATTTGTAACAAGCAGTTACAAAACCTTCACCGTGCATAAACGTTGTTGTTTTACACATTTACCTCTTCGCTTGTTGCCAGTGATGAAAAGGAGTCTGACGTGCTTGTCATTTAGCTGGAGGTTGCACTCCCAGGGATTTTTGACCCTTAAGGGCACCCGTTGGTAGGATCTTATACTAACACAAAAACACTGCCTTCTTGCTATAATTTAGGTATGTACTGCCCCGTCACCAGGGAAAATACAGGTCGTCACTTTAAGTTACCAGAAAATGACACTGTCCCTCTTTTTTAGTGATTTCCCTTCTCTAACGTGACACTCCTCCTCCAGTCTCCTGTTGGTGCAACAGCTGCATGTGCCCATCCCGGTCACCTTCCCAATTCCAGCAATAGCAGCTCGACTTCAACATTAAAACTGTCCCAAAGCATTTGCCGTTCGCTGCCTCGCAGCAGCTCGCTTACGGGGTGACAGGGACTTAGTGATGCGCGGACATCCCACTCTGACCCTCCTGACATGTGTCTAATTGAAGCTGCAAAAAGCCTCCCTGATAGTTTCCGAAACAATACGAACATAATAGCACAAAGGCTGAGCTGCTTACGCGCTTTAAATCCCTCAGAGTCCACGCTGGATTAAAAGCTGAATTGCTTTCGCCGCTGCTGTTAATAAAAGAACACATCTTACATAAACAGTAACCAGTTTCATGACAGTTCTGGGAAAAAATATTTACCACGCCTGTATGAAAACATACTGTGAAAACAGAGAGCGTCTCATCAAAGTTTAGCGTGCGGCGCGAGGAAATGCAGCGAATGCTAGGGGAAGCTCAGACAATGTGCAAATTGTGTTTGCTGAAGTGAATGTCAACTTGTGTGACAGCCAGACTGCTGCAGGGAATCTGCCAGCATATTCAACAACCGAGCACATCAACACTAGCTGAAGGAGAGGGAGAGAGAGAAGTGTGTGTGTGTGTGTGTGTGTGTGTGTGTGTGTGATGAATGAGACCCATCACAGTGTGAACGGGGGGGGGGGGGGGGGGGGGGGATGGCAGGTGAGCAGGAGGAGAAATTGTATTCATAGTTACAGAGGAGTGTGTGTGTGTGTGTGTGTGTGTGTGTGTGTGTGTGTGTGTGTGTGTGTGTGTGTGTGTGTGTGTGTGTGTGTGTGTTTAAACACATACATGACTACTTTAAATTCATACTGAAGATGAGGTAGTGTTTACATAGATGAAGAAGAAGAAGAAAATATCATTTCTATAGCGCCTCTCAAGAAAAAAATCACGAGGCGCTTCACAAAAAAAATGCAAAAATATAAAAAAACATTTAGAAAATGTTTAAAAACTATATTTCAAATGAGCAAAAATAGGCAATTGCGATTTAAAAGAAAAAATGTTAAGAAAGAGAGGGAGTGAATAGGAAAGAGGGAAATCAGTGGATCCTGAGGAAGGTGGAATAGGTGAGGAGAGCAGAATAAAGAGAGAGAGAGGTGAAGAAGGTCATACAAAAACCAGCCTGAACAAGTGAGTCTTCAGCTGCATTTTAAAGGAGACCACTGAGTCCACTGATCTCAGGCTCAGGGGGAGAGAGGTCCAGAGTCTGGGGGCCACAGCAGCAAATGAGCTGTCACCTTTGGTCTTTAGCCTGGTGCTGCACAACCAGTAGGCTTTGATCACTGGACCTCAGGGACCTGCTGGGGGTGTAGGGACTAAGAAGATCACCAATGTAAGATGGTGCTTGTCCATGTAAGGCCCTATAGACCAGAACCAGGATCTTGAAATGAATCCTGAAGTTGACGGCAGCCAGTGAAGCTGGAGGAGAAGCGGGGTGATGTGGGTGTGTTTGGAGGACTTGGTCAGAGGCCGAGCACAGGCGTTCTGAACCACCTGTAGACGGTTCAGGGAGGTTCTGCTCAGACACGTGAAAAGAGAGTTACAGTAGGCCAAGTGTGAGGAGATGAAGGTGTGGAGAACTGTCTCAAGTTCAGAGCGGGTCAGCTTAGCAATGTTCCTGAGATGGAAGAAGGAAGAGCGAACAAGAGAACTGACATGAGAATCCAGGGTGAGAGCTGGGTCAAAGGTCACGCCAAGATTCCTGACAGAAGGTTTGGTGTGGGAAGCAAGCTGACCAAGAGAGTCTCTGACTTTGTGAACCAGCTTGTCTGGGGCACAGATGAGGATCTCAGTCTTATCTTCATTCAGATGAAGAAAGCTCCCAGCCATCCAGGTTTTGATAGAGTCTAAGCAGGTGTGTAACAGCTGCAGCTTAGACATCTCATGGGGCTTAAAGGAGATGTACAGTTGGACGTGATCTGCATAAAGATGGTAGGAGATTCCTTTGAAGGAGCTCAGGATGTGCTGAAGAGGAAGCAGATAGAGGAGGAAGAGCAGAGGCCCCAGCACAGAACCATGTGGGACACCATGGGTAAGAGAGGTGGTGGAGGACCTAAACTTGGAGACGGCCACAGAAAAGGAGCGCTCAGAGAGATAAGAGGAGAACCACTCCAGAGCAGATCCTGATAGGCCTACCCAGTCTCTCAGTCTCTCCAGTAGCAGGTGATGGTCAACAGTGTCAAAGGCTGCAGTCAGGTCCAGCAGGACCAGAACAGAACAGTCCCCTGCATCACTGTGAGTCAGAAGGTCATTAGAGACCCTAAGAAGAGCTGTTTCAGTAGAATGAGCTCTACGAAAACCTGACTGGAAGCTATCATAGATGTTATGTTCATCAAGAGCAGCTGTGAGTTGTTTAGCCACAACCTTTCCAAGATCTTGGAGATGACGGAAGTTTAGAGATGGGTCTGAAGCTGCTATGGAGAGAGGGGTCAAGACTCGGTTTTTTTAGGAAGCGGGTGGATTACAGCGTTCTTAATATGTCATAGGTCACAGGGGCGTCATGTAATCTTAGTGTGTGTGTGTGTGTGTGTGTGTGTGTGAATCCTAAAAGTCCTAATATTACACAGAAATCTGTTTCTCATAAACCGAGATAATCCTGACTAAACCGATAAAGAGTTCTTGATTAAATATGTCCTGTCAGAGATCAAGATCAGTCCAAAGCAACAGAAAATATCAGAACATGTAGCATTTAAGCTCTTATGCTATTCAGGAAAATCATCTAGAAAGGGCAACAAGTCCTATGTTTGTTGCTACTGCGACCACCGTAGTTGCCGTGTCCTCGGTGAAGTTTCCCAATCACACACACACACACACACACACACACACACACACACACACACACACACACACACACACACACACACACACACACAGAGAGAGAGAGAGAGAGAGAGAGAGAAGAGAGAGAGAGAGAGAGAGAGAGAGAGAGAGAGAGAGAGGAGAGAGAGAGAGGAGAGAGGAGAGAGAGAGGAGAGAGAGGAGAGAGAGAGAGAGAGAGAGAGATGAGAGAGAGAGAGAGAGTGAGAGAGAGAGAGAGAGAGAGAGAGAGAGGAGGAGAGAGAGAGAGAGAGAGAGAGAGAGAGGAGAGAGAGAGAGGAGAGACCATAACAACACAACTTTCCCGTGCAGATGTGAGCGCCGCTTACCTACGGTTGACAGATCGGCATTCACCGCCTAGCTGAGTCCAAAGTGCTCGGTCTCTGTTGAGCTCGCGCTTGTCCGAGCCTCCAGGTGAGATGCGGGGTGAAAAATAAGAGGTGGTGTGTTTGTGGAGAGAGACCACAGGTAGCGCGCTGCGACTCGCTTCGCAGCCTGTGCTCATTTCAGATCAGGAGAGACGCGGAGCTCCTCGTTTCAGCCCGCTCCGCTCTGTGGCGTCTCAGCCAGCAGCAGAGGCTGTGCTGCCAGGACTGGCGGGAGGAGTCACAGAGAGCAGCGCGCGGAGCATCTTGGGAAACGTAGTGTTTTTTTTTTTTTGTTGTTGACGTGTGAGCGTGTTAGCAAACCAAAAAATGGCTAGTCAGTTTAAACACTAGTCAAATGGTTTAAACACTGAATTGAAAGTAGTTGTTGTTATAGCTTAGACTGATTCACACCACCCTATAATAAAATGTAGGTGTAAATATTTGAGCTTACTAGCTTGTTATGAACGTTAATGAAGCCAAATGCAACGCAAGGGCCGCCCATAGTCATAATATAAACAAAGATTAGCCAGTGCATTTTGCAAGTAATTAACTTTAATGGGTTTTAGTTGTAGTGAGACTCATTCACACCAATTTCAAATCAAACATAAGCAGGAAATTTAGCAAAGTATCTTGTGATGGTTCTTAAAGAGCAAGTAATGCCTAAATTAACTCTTTTTTGCTGATAAACTGTGTAAATGCATGTTGAATAGTGTTTTAAACGTGTGTATTCACAATTTTAGCATTTTGATGCATTTTCATTAAAAAATAAAAATTCTGCCTAAATACCACAGTATAGCGCCACCTTCAGCTTAAAACATAGAGTCAGAGTCTGTTTGAATACACTTTAGCCAATGGCTAAAGTGAACAAAGCTACGTAAACGAGAAAAGTACGACGTAGCAGCTCTGTGTCAAAGTTATAAAAGCATCGAGAGTCTCGGCCACGCCTTGTGGCGAGTTGGGAGTTGGATTTGCAAGCGAGCGTACATGACGGTTAGCGTTAGTTGCCTAACATTTAGAGACAACTCAAGTTAGGATGGCTGCGAACACAGACAGATGGGACTGGGGAGCTTTATGTAGCCGCCATCTTGGATGGGTCCCAATCACCCCCAGTACATTTATTTGTACTGAAGAATATGTTTACCCAACAAAAAAAAACACATTTTATCAGATATAATGTATGGTATGATGATTAAAATATTAATATTGTAAGATAAAATAAATTCAAAACTGTAAAATCCCAACAGGTAGGCTAGAAAAGTCAATAGTAATCCCACGTGATCTGTTTTAAATATTGCGCTGGTGGTTGCAACTATGGCCACCTTAGCTAATAAATATTAGCAAAACACAAAAATGGCAAAAATGAAATCGGTTTTAAGGATATTGAGCTAACAATCTGGTGTACTTTTAGTCATCTACTCAATACTTGACACACTAAATAGTATGTTGTTCTAAAGACGTTCCCTTTAGCTTTTTCAGTCAAAGTTTGTGTTGTAAAATGGACCACTTAAGAGATTTTAATAAATCTTTTTCAAAATAATTACTATTTGAAGTCAAACCCATTGTACTGTCCAAATATGTACTGAAACACATTCAAAACACATTCTCTGATTGCTAAGAGGCTGCAAAAAATCTAGTTAAGTTTCATTATATAATGCAGTATGTCATGTTTAAAGAGTAAGTCACCCCCTACCAGATTTTTACTCAACTCCCATTTCCTGTTTGAAAAATGCAACAAATGCTGTTGCCTAGCAGACCGAGAGGGCGGAGCTGCTAACAAATACACACACACACACACACACACACACACACACACACACACACACACACACACACAGGCTCACAACGACATTGTGACATCATATGGTACCAGTTAACATTCCAGGGTACCTCTTAGCCAACAGCGATGGCAGATTTAAATTCAAATACAGTGCAGAGTTTTTACTTGACAATGGCACAACACTGACAGTTTTAGGCAAAAAATGTAAATTTTAACTAAAATGCGCTAAAGTGCAAAACTATTGACTACACATGTCTGCAGCACGATTAGACACGCATTTATATAGTTTATCAGGAAAAAAGTTGATATGGGGGTGACTTGCTCTTTAAATGTTTAAACCAAAACTTCCATAACAACTCCATCATTAAATTCCCAGAATTCTGTCAAGGGATGTTTTAATTTAATCTCCTAATCGTTAAACTCAGTCTTATAGATTCAGTTCAGGAACAAACCCAGCATCCTCCTCGCCTGTCCCCAGCCAATCAGACATCCCATCCTCCTCTGATGCAACATTTTCCTGTCACACGCCAGCTCTTTTGTCCTCTAACACAGTCATGGACTCTTCTGGTTCTATAAATCCGTCTTCAACCAAGTCAGGAGATGCTGCTGCCCCAGTTACGTCCCCCTCCCACCTTTCTGTCTCTAGAAGTCAGGTGAAGAGGCAGCTGGAGAGACTGAACAGGAACAAGGCTGCAGGTCCAGATGGTGTCAGCCCCAGAGTACTGAAGGCCTGTGCAGAGCAGCTCTGTGGGATTCTGCAGCACCTCTTCAACCTCAGCCTGGCCCAGGAGAAGGTTCCAGTCCTGTGGAAGACATCCTGCCTTGTTCCAGTTCCAAAGAAAACTCGCCCATTAGTCAATGACGACTACAGACTGGTTGCCCTGACATCCCACATCATGAAGGTCCTGGAGAGACTCCTGTTGGTCCACCTGAATAAGCAAACTAGAACATATCAGGACCCGCTGCAGTTTGCTTATCGCCATGGAGTTGGAGTTGAAGAAGCCATCATCCAGCTGCTTCAACACACCCACTGCCATCTGGACAAAGCAGGCAGCACTGTGAGGGTCATGTTCTTTGATTTCTCCAGTGCATTTAACACAATCCAGCCTGATGTACTTTGCCAGAAACTCCAGAAGACACAGGTGGGGGCCTCAACTATCGCCCGGATTAAAGCCTACCTGACAAACAGACCACAGCTTGTGAGGCAGAAGAACTGCAGATCAAACCAGGCGATCAGTAACATTGGAGCGCCACAGGGGACTGTACTCTCACCATTCCTTTTCACCCTGTACACCTCAGACTTCCAGTACAAATCAGAGACCGGTCATCTACAGAAATACTCAGATGACTCTGCAGTTGTCGGGTGCATCAGAGATGGACAGGAAGCTGAGTACAGAGAGCTGGTGGAGCGCTTTGTGGCATGGTGTGGAAACAATCATCTGTCCTTCAACGTGAACAAAACAAAGGAGATGATTATAGACTTCAGAAGAAACAGGGTGTAGTCAAACACTGTTTCCATCATGGGAGAAGAAGTGGAGGTGGTTGAGGAATACAAATACCTTGGAGTTCACCTGGACAACAGACTGGACTGGAGAAAGAACAGTGAAGCTGTTTACAAGAAGGGACACAGCAGACTGCACTTCTTGAGGACACTTAGGTCCTTCAATGTCTGTAGCAAGATGCTGCAGATCTTCTACAAGACTGTTGTTGAGAGTGTAATCTCTTCAGCCATCGTCTGTTGGGGTAGCAGCATCAGAAGCAGGGACCTGAAAAGGCTCAACAGCCTAATAAAAAGGCCGGTTCTGTCCTGGGGACGACTGTGGAACCGCTGGAGGAGATAATGCAAAGAAGGATTCTCCAGAGAATCAAGAAAATGATGGACAACCCTGAGCATTCTCTTCACAAGACTGTCCGACAACGGAAGAGTGTCTTCAGTCAGAGGCTTCTTCAGTTTGGCTGCAACACTGACCGCTACTGGAGATCCTTCCTGCCAACAGCCATTGTAATATACAACAACTCTTTGATGACTTGATTATTATTATTATTATTCTGAGCTACTACAGCAATCAATTTCCCTCTGGGATTAATAAAGTATTTTTGAACTGAATTGAATTGAATTAATAAATAGAAAGTAGCGTCATGAACATCCAGGGGATACTTTTACTTTGAAAAATGACAAATTATTTGCTCAGTTTTATGGGGGTAAATCATTTCTCATACATCAGAAGACAGCTTGCTAAAAATAATACATGAATGGTAAGTTTTGAGTTGCCGTTCTCAACATGAAGAAAACAAATGCTCATTGTTAACTAAACCAACTGCTTTTGATGGATTCCCTTATTAATATCGGGCAACTTGTTTTATAACGATGGTTAAAAAGAGGAAACTACAGCAGCAAAATGTTCTCCTGGAGGAGGAAATGAAAAGCATCAACTTTTAAATGACCACCATATAATTTGTTCATCCAACCAGAAAAACTAGAACCTTCAGTTTCTGCTTTTATACATTACTAGGAGAATGCCATGACATTTACCTGCCTTGATTTCCTATAGCAACCAAAGAGAACGACACCTTTCTTATGTTTATGTTTTGATTTGACACCTTGCAGAGATTGCACGTTCCCAAAAATCTGCTAAATGAAAATTACAAACGACTAAAGTTTTGTTTTGGTAGCTTTTCTTGTTTATTGCAGTAACAAGCAGGATTTTTGCAGATTTCTAATAGATTTACAACAATATCTTTGCATACAATTGGGTCATAAGAGCTCCAAGCACAAGCTTAATATGAATATAATAAAGGAAGTGCAACACTTCTGCGCCTGCTTTGCAAAAACGCAGCAAGGCAGATGCAGCTTCTAGCAGTTTGCATGCTCCAACCTCTTCTTTATGACACATCTGGAACATGCAGCTACACTTATTCTGATTAATTCTCATGAATTCCACTTTTTACCTGAACTCAGACACACAGGTGTAGTTTACAGCTCACTGAAAGTGTTGTGATCCCTCTGAAAATCCTGCATCTTTGATGAACACAAGCAGAACAGTGTTTTATGTCACCGCTTCTGTTAAAGACCACTCAACAGCATTGTGCTCAGGCAGAAACCTTGATGGATGAAATCCTACACCGAGACAATAACTTGTTTTCCTTTCAGGCCAAACATCCCCCTGAGCTTTCATTGTTTCTCCCCCCTCTTTCTTATGGCTGTGCAAAGAGTACATTTCCTAAAACGGCTCAGTGTGTGTGTGTGTGTGTGTGTGTGAAGGAAATGCTTCTGCCTTTCAGTAGCTTAAGTCTAAAATTAGAGCCCTCCACCGTCCAGCTGTCACAAGCTGGGTCGAACCGTCGGGCGTTCAGGAAAGAACCCGGAGGCGCGTTGAAGTCAGGACAAAAACAGCGCTTGGGCGTGCTCGACAGTGAAGAACACATTTATTCTTCATACACGCAGAAAACTAGTGATCTATAAATACCAGTAGGCACTCAGGAAGTGCAAATGTGGTCACATCTTTTTAGTCTGGGTAGAAGAGTTGGTTGACGTGCGTCATTTTTTCCGCGTTTTTGTTTTAAAATCGACTCATTTAATGAGAAATGAATCGTTGTTCTGACAAGCTTAGCAAAGCAAAACTCTCCCAGAGCACAGACGCTAATTTAATACGCTGATGAAACTGGTCTCAAGTGATAACACAATCAAAATTTTAATGCGTTCTCATCTCACCGTCAAACATTACACGCCTCTAGTCTATTTGATTATGAAATGTGCCTATCCGAGTGTCTATTTGGACTGTGGCGCATCCTTCATTGACTCGGATCCCGGCGGACCTCCCGCCTCTCGCTCGGCCTCTGATGTAATTCAGTTCAGTAAATCGGAGCTGATCTCAGGAAAATGCCACCGTGGTTTTTTGTCTGCATGAGACTTAATCTGGTTTGTCAGGAAACTGCAAAAACGACCCTGATTCATTTCAAAATGACCTCTTTGAGTGACATGTTCCGGCGGCGTAGACCAAGTCACATGACTTGGACCCAAGTCTGAGATGACAGAAAGCTCGGCACTCAAACAAATAATAATCGCCCATCTCTGATGGACATTATTTCTTTTTTCTATGGTGTGAACGTGCAAATTTGGTCAATTTACATGTTTGGGGTTAAAAAACTCAAATGTTTTGGACTTCAGTTTTGGCTCCTGTACTTCCATATGTTGGGAACTGGCTTGTTTTGAGTGGAAAGACTTGAAACTTGCTTGACTTGGTCCCACTTCTGCCACTTCTGCCACTTCTGCCACTTCAGCGCTTTGGGCTTCCTAACAGGGTTGCAGAAGGCGCTTTATAAATAAAGCTTTGATTGATTGATTGACTTTTATATACTTCAGTGCTGCCAATACACTTAGGTGAATTGTAAGTGTATTAAAGCTCTCCTAGTTGTTTTGGTAGGACCTCAAGGCATTTCCTTACAGGTCAGGAGATACAATTCCTTCAGTGTATCCTGGATCGACCAGGGAACCTCCTGTTAGTGAGACATCCCCCAAAACACCTCCCCCAGGCAGCATGCAGGAAGCACCTCAACCAAATCTTTAAATGCTTGATGTGAGGAAGCAGCGGCTTTATTCCAAGACTCAACATGTTAATTAAGACACGATCTGAGAGTCCAGGGAGCGTTCGTGGGGTAACACCAGGGAGCCAGGCCTAAAGCTGAGGGCCTGTGTGTGTTACTGCCTTGTCTTATCCACCCGTGACCACCACCTGCAGGAGAAGCATGAAGGATCTGGTGCAATTTGGATCAAGGCTTTAGTGGTCCAAGCCCTGAAAACTGAAACTTACTCCAATATTTTAAAATAATATTCTGTTATGTGGTTTCATATGTGTGCAAACATGCTTTATTTCTGCATCAATGTGTTAAAACATGTTTCATTAGTAGAATTAAGGAAAAAGTTGAATATCTGGCTGTAGATTGGATTAATTAATTACCTGTGCAAACTAATTGATTGTGTTGTTAGTAGAATTCTTCTAAAACGCTTTAGTAATTTATTTGCATTAATTAAACATGTAAACACCTAAAAATAACATTGGAATTAAGCTAATACGATCATTTCATTCCTAATCTCTATCGCCATCTAGCGGACATTGTCTAAAACGTCACTCTCACAAGTTCAGAGGTCACTTAAAAAAAACATGGCGGCTCCCTGTAAAGCCACCGTAGTGCTAAAGGCTGTGAAGAAAATAGCAGTCCAGTTTTGTCCGTTTGAGTCTAATACCCGGTCCACAAGGTAAGACGTGTGCGTGCGGATGTGGACGTTTGTGTTAAAGTGTTTTTGTAGGAATTAAACGGATGTTAGCGATGCTAATGTCCGGCTAAAGTCACCGCTAAAGGAGCAAATCGGCTGTACATCTCGCTCGCTTTTACTTTATACCATTGATTTTATTTAAACTGTCAGCTCTGAATGTGTAAAATAATGATACAACACGACGAAAGTGTGTTTTCCTGCTCAAGTTTATGTAAACACAGATAATGTGCTCAAGCTCGAACTTTCAAAATAAAACTAATAAAGGTTAATTAAGTTGTTTACACGACCTATTGTAATCACTATTATGCTGTAGTCTTTATAAATGAGGTTATTCGAGATAAATTGGTCGTTTAGGTTATTTATTATAGCAAAATTTAAATTTATTTAAATCTGATTTTAGTATTTGTAGATATAGAGGCATTTAAGAAACATTTCTGCCTAAACGTTTCCAGATCATTTAGGGGTTTTAGGATTACAACCGTGCATCGGTTACAGTGGGCTTTCTTATGTTTTAAGATAAAAAGCTCTAATCTTTATAATCTATCATAGATGAGCTTTGGAATAAAAGGGGACCCCAACTCCTAAAACAATTGTCCGCTAACACGTTATGAAGCTGAAGTTGGTTCCCATCTTTGGTTTTGGTCTCAGAAAGGGCGATTCTAACCTTTCTACTGCTGAGCATCTGCTCTAATCACAAAACATTAACACCCAGACTCTTCAAACCTGGACTCAAAAGTCTACTACACATAGTTTGTGATTTGAAAAACCTCTTTTACTTAAAGAGCAAGTCACTTCAAATCACCATTTTTTTGCTGATAAATTATATAAATGAGGGTCTGATTGTGCTGTAGACAAATACAGTCAATAATTCGGCACTTTAGTGCATCTTAGTTAAAATTTAAATATTCTGCCTAAAACTGTCAGCGATGCACCGTTGTCAGGCAAAAACTCAGCACGGCATTTGAATCTGCCATCGCTATTGGCTAAGAGGTACACTATGATGTTAGATGGTACATTATGATGTCACAATGTAGTGAGTGTGTGTATTTGTTAGAGGCTCTGCCCTCTCGGTCTGGTAGGCAACAGCATCTGTTGCATTTTTCAAACAGGAAGTGGGAGTTGAGTAAGAATCTGGCAGGGGGTGACTTTCCCTTTAAAAAATTTTATTAGAGCAAGTCACTCCCTACTAGATTCTTACTCAACTCCCACTTCCTGTTTGAAAAATGCAACAAATGCTGTTGCCTAGCAGACCGAGAGGGTGGAGCCACCAACAAATACACACACACAGGCTTACAACGACATTGTGACATCATATGGTACCATCTAATGTTCTAGGGTACCTCTTAGCCAATAGCGATGGCGGATTTAAATTCAAATGCAGTGCAGAGATTTTACCTGACAACGGCACAACACTGACAGTTTTAGGCAGAAAATTAAAAATTTTACTAAAACGCATTAAAGTGCAAAACTATTGACTACACGTGTCTACAGCATGATTAAACACGCATTTATATAGTTTATCAGAAATAAAGTTGATTTGGGGGTGACTTGCTCTTTAACGGTTCACTTACATCGTTTATGCTAAGCTAAAGCTAACAGAAATCTGCTAGATTCAGGAGAATGACTGGGCTGGATACAAAATTCCTTTTCCCACTTATTTCTGGGGAATGTGGCAACAGACTGCGTTTCACTTAGGGGTGGACTATCCCTTTAAGCCCAACATAGTAGTAAATCCCCCATTTTTAGTGTAGTCAAATCAATGATCAGGCTTGATTATAATATTTAAATAATCCCTCAAATCAAAAGTGAAGTGTGGTTTACTGAGGTGGAGCTCTTTTTTGTCTTTCTTTAACTCTTTATAATTCAGCAGGGTGGCACAAACCTAATCACACAGGTTGATTTGTTTGGTTTGTTGACTACAACTTTGATGAAGTCTTTCCTGCAGTGCAATGCCTTAAAGTAACGAAGTTGCTACTACAGCTAATATTCTGCTTGTTTTTGTCTCACAGGGAGTTTCTGGCCTTGGTCGGATCAGAAAAGGCCCGAGCAACCAACATAAACTGTCAGGTCGTGTCTACGGTGAAACACGACAAGTCAGAACCTGTAGTTGATGTAACTTATGGTAAGGATCAGACGGCGCTCGATCACTTGGGAGCAGGCGTGGAGGTCATGGTTGATATGTGTTCCGTTTTGCTAGGTTTTTAAAAGGGTATGTAAGAATTCTGCAGTGAAAAAGCAAACTGAGCGTTGCGGTGTGTGACGTACGCTGCTCAGCGCTGATTGGCTCAGTTAGAATTCTCAGGGGGTGGGGTTATTTCAATAGGAGCGTTCCCTAGGAGCTGGCTGTTCAGGCTACCTTTAAGTTAGCTTCATATCTTAGAAGTAAACTCTTAAACTTAAAGCAGCACAAAATACTTTTTAACTCTTTACGCAATTTCTTTAGAAAACAGGAAGTGGAAATATCGATTAGAGTTCAAGTTTGTTTTATGACGTGATGATTGAGAGTTGAACTTAATTTTTAGTCAGATGTGAAATGGTGCATCCAGTGCAGCATGAATCACATTTGATCCATAATCCTGTTTTTAAAAGAACGTTTATATTTTACTGAGTAGATGATTAAAGCAGCTCGCCACAGTTCGTCCTGACATCGGCTCGGACTCAACTTTCCCCCGTTTGCTGCTCCTTCCACAGTGCATCATGGTGACTCATCTGATTGTGTTTCTGGGTTTTTCTGCAGTGGACGGAGAGCAGCTGGTGATGAAGGGAGCGAACCTGACCTGCAGTGAGATGATGAGTGCGTTTCAGTCGCGCTGCACCAACAAAGACCCACAAACAAAAGCTGCTGCAAAGAAATGATGCAGAATCCTGTTTGAGTCATTTTCTATTTGTGTGATGTTTCTCTTTTTGTTAATTAAAGATAATTTGATCCAGATCGTCACCTCTGGTGTGTGTTTTTGTCAGTTTTTTAGGGATCAGATTCCTCTCTTTAAGCTAATTTGACTTTTTGTAGCAATAAAAGGTTTCAGAGAACTTTATGCAACCTTTGACGCAACAATTTGGCACAAAGGCTTGATTTCAGCGTCACAAAAAATTTAAATGCTTGTTTCAAATTTTCTCCAACCTCTGTGACACAATTTGAGATTGTTTTACTATTTGTTTCATTGTTCTGATGTTTTGCGATTTCTTGTAATTGTTCCATGAAAGAATAACAATCGCACGCCAGAGGTCATCATAATTAAACAGTCATTGATCATTGAAGGCTAATACAGCGTTTAATTGTTTTCCTGGTTTTATTCAATGGCTGGATTAAAAAAGAAGCTAGCCTGTTTTCCAAAGACTTTTGGACTTTGTCCTTGTGTGAGCCTGCAGCACCTCAGCATCATTTTCTGGTGTCATTTTAAAAATGGCTTACTTTTTGGCACTTGTCATTTGTGTCCCACCCGTGCCATTCCAGGATGGCACCTGCTTTCAGCGATGGTCCTCTTGTAAATAAGATTGAGCTCAATATTATTTACTTTGAATTGACCAACATGGTTTCTATTCTATTTTTGGTTATAATAAGAAATAAAGTTTTTTTTAAAGCGCATTGAAAGATAAAAATCCCCAGGTGTTTCATAAGCATTTAAGAAATGAGAAAAGTTAAAAAAGATAAAATATGAATTGAGATAAAAAGAGTCATATATTAAAAGAAGCTCGTTGCCTTATAAACATGAATACGTTGGCGCCACATTGGGCACTGGAAAGCGTAACAGCATCGCTCCCATGTATGTACTGTACCTTTTTGGGGGGGACATGTCCCCCCCACTTTTTACCTTCCAAAAGCAATAATACGTTTTATTAAATCGATGCTGGTTGAGCACTAGGACAAAGCGGAAAACAACCTCTTGTGTTGAAGCCTGTTTCCCATTAGAGCCATCCATAAGCTCATCTATTGGCTCTGCTGATTCTTGCTAACGTGTGATTGGCTGTTCCTGCCACCTGTGTACTTGACAGTTCTGCATTCCTGACATTGCATAAAAGAGCCTCTAGGCTGTAGTTTTATACATGTTTTTTGTATACTTATTGCAAAGATCTCCCCCCTGGTCCTCATGCCAGTTGCCACCTTATTGGGTGGGTTCTTCACCCCAGACCTAACTGGAGTCATTGCACAGTGAGCTACTATGCCCTTTATTGTGCAGCCTACTGATGAACTATTGAAAACATCACATGGGATTACTATTGACTTTAAAATTTTCATTTATTTTATTTAATCATATTTACATTTAAACTATCCTGCCATACCAAATGGCTGATTTTGCGAAAAGCACAATAAAATGTGTTTTTCGGTTACACCATCCTCAGAAATAAATGCACTGGGGGCGAATGGAGACCCATCCAAAATGGCGGACTGCTGCTACGCTAGCTTTATTGGTTCTAAGTATATGATGTCTGTGCTGCCTGTTCAAAGATTTCAGCGGAAGGTGGGATCTAATTGTGACGTATCCGCTAATGATTGGTTGACGTATCTTCCCAATAGCGCGAGCTGGCCCTTTAAAAGCAGCCAGCTGGCGCCTGTTAGCGCACTTGTTTTCAAGAATTCGGTCCAGAGGAAAGTCTCGGTTCTTGTTGGAGTTTTCCCTGAAAAACAGCAAAAATGGTTGAGAATTTTGTTGGAACATGGAAGATGATCTCCAGTGAGAACTTTGATGAGTACATGAAGGCTCTTGGTAAGTTTTGAACGTTGTCACGTGCTTGTTTGCTGGTTTTTCAAAGTTTTTCAAATTTTAACTTTGTGTTAAATAAGAGTTTGGGTGTAAAATTGTCCAAAGGGAACATTTTAAAGTCATTTGAACAATAATAAAGACATGATTTTTGATGCCTCCAGGTGTGGGCTTTGCTACCCGCCAGGTGGGGAACCGAACCAAACCCAACTTTGTTCTGAGCGTGGACGACCAAGGGACCATCTGCATGAAGTCTCAGAGCACCTTCAAGACCACCGAGGTCAAGTTCAAGCTCAATGAGCCTTTCGAGGAGATTACTGCAGATGACCGGAAGACCAAGGTTCGAGTGGTTTGATTTTAATATATTTGTGACTCGGTTGAGTTCATGATCGTTTTTATTTTATTTCTCCTGCAGACGGTGGTGACTCTGGAAAATGGCAAACTTATGCAGAAACAGAGCTGGGATGGCAAGGAAACGAGCATTGAGCGGGACATTTCTGATGGGAAATTGATAGCAGTAAGTTAATTTCACATTTGATGAGTGGAAAATGACTTATTACCATCTAACCCACCTGTTACTTCCTGCAGAGGTGCATCATGGGAGATGTGGTTGCTGTGAGGATGTACGTGAAGGAGGCATGAGTCTTCCATTGGATGCTTCTGGATGATGGGCTCAGTTCAATGAGCGTATTCCCCAAACTGAACAGTGTGTTCTGCTCTTACTCTTGATCTTCATGGTGTTGCCAAAGCCACATTTTTTTCTACCTGTTTTTTCCCAACAAAATGCATCTGGATTTGTTTGGAATTGTGAATTTAAATAAAGTAATGAGTGCAGAGAATCTTTGTCTGGTCATTTGGATCTTAAGGTATATTGAAGTGTGAGGAAGAATGTTGCATGAAACTCTTAATGGGAGCAAAGCTAATCTGATGGGCTGAACTTTCATCTATTTTCTCAAAACTTTAATATTAAACATCTGGGGTCAGGAATGCGTTTAGACTCCTTTTTTGGGGGAAGTATAATTTTAACTGGCAGGCGTACGCAAACGGTTTTTGGTCCCACCCCCTGTGCACTTTTGTAGTGGTCCTAAAAGGCAGCAGCCACTTTCCCACGTCAGGAAAGGGAGCTGCTGTTGCACTGATTGGGCGTAACGATTAAAACCGCTGAGCCTGGTGAAAGTTTAGGTCTGAGCAATGCAGCAGTCGGACACGAAGCTCTGGGAAGAGGCCAAGAGATGAATAGCTAAAGTCCATGAAGGCATTTTTCCTCTGGATGAATTTCCTCAAATTAGAGCAAAAGTACATTATTTTGAAATTGCTTTCAAGCCTTTTTAGCCTAAAACTACATTTATCAAACTTAAAGCCAGACTGTAATTTTCTAATGGAAGTTTACTAGTTTTGTATAAAATGTACATCTCCATACGTCTCTTTTGGATGTTAGACTGATCTGACTGTTTTGATTTATGCATCTTGCAGAAAATCGAACCTAATAAAACATTCAAAGTATTCATGTGCGATGCATTCTGGAGATTTATCCTCTAAAAAAGCAAATAAACACATTTTAATTGTGTAAACCCTTCCAAGTCGTATAGATGAGATCCCCTTTGCAGCTAAAAGATAAAGATTGACTCATTTAGTCTTGGATCAAAAAAGCTGCAGATTTCTTTGTGCATCTTATGAAAGCACATCTGCTATGGGTTGACTTACAGGTGCGTTCTTCAAAAGTAAACAAAACATCCGCGTTATGTTTGGATAGCTGCAGGGGGACGGGGGCAGATCCCCACCTCAGAGTAGGTTTTCTTCCCAGACATCAATGCTGCACAGATTTGGTAAGACTTTCAAAGTTCTGAGTCAAAATCTGCAAAGATAAGTTCCACAAAAACAAACATGTTTTTCTATTTATGCACAAGAATGAGATTTTATTTCACTGTATGAGCTAAACTGAACCAAAAGAGGAGTTTCCACTGGAGAGCAACGAGGAAAAGGTCTGCAATCCTGTGAGGTTGCATCACGTGCAAGAAAATATACCAAAAGTAGAAAAATGACTTAGAAATGATGCAAAATTTGGACTGTCCGCATGCTTTTTGTGAAAGAAAATGGATTTATCAATTTAAAAAAATGAACAAGAATCTAAATAAAAAGTCAATAAATGTCATAGAATTTTATTTGCAGCACTTTTTATAGATTTAAAAGAGAAAACTTGCACATTTTCACTTGAAAATGAGCTTTTCTGTTGATCTCGGTGTCATAAAGTAGATTGAGATAAATTTCTTAGCAGTTTTAAAATTCTAAAAAGCCCTGAAGTTTCATGTAAAAACCACATCTTCTGGTCTAAGTGGTTTATGAATTAAAATGTTAGATGAAATGTGTTTGAGGAACTTTTCACTCGGCTGATGGCGTTTTACTTGTTTGTTTAGAGACGGACTTCAGAGGAATTAGCTCACATCCTTAGCACAACATCTGGAAAGCTCCTCTTGAGCCGTGGTGTTGACTCCCTTCCTCTGCCGGGTCTCCACTTAAACGCTGTCAAACACAAACACCTTTTACGTTCTAGTGCTTCAGCAAGCCTAAAGATCCACAAGAGCTTCAGCTATATGACCTCCGACCCCTGATGGAAAACTTACATGCATCAAAACTTATTGTCTTTTTCCTCGAATAAACAAATCTTTGTTTATATTTTTGTTTTCGAGGTGCAGCTGGAGTCAGAGGTGATGCGTTTGGGTCGTGTTGGGCTGAGACAGAATCAGGGGCCAAACCGTTTTATTTTGGGATCTCTGCCAGGGTGGGGTTGACCTTGAAGTCAGCCGACTCTTGTGCTGGTGTGAACGTTCCTCTGAAGTTTTCCTCCACATTAAACTAAAGAACACATGATCTCATCTCAGCTTCGCGGGATCCATGCAGAACCGGGGGCTCATCCGGGATCTCATCTCCAGAGTAACCAAGCAGCCGAACCTCAACATGTTTGATCTGCAGGGGAGGCTGGTTGCTATGCAACAAGATCTCTCCCCACTGAACCCTGCCATCCAGAAACAGACTGATTTCTGGAATTCTGATTTCACCAAGTGTCTGTTAGAAAAGCTGTGATTTCACAACTTGAACTTTATCCTCCACATTCTTTCCATCTCGTCTGCTGTTCTTCAGTCATTTTTGTCCTTCTTTCACCCTCGTGTCCAGCACGTTTTCCTTTTCCCCAACATGAAACTGCTCTTCAAATATCCATTTTCTTGTCTGTTGTAGCTTTTTGATGCTTTTTAAATACTGCACCTCTGTGCAGGTGAGTGGGGAGGCCTTTTGGCCTCTTGAGTGCTCAGATTCAGCCTCCAAAGAACCAAACAAGTCGGAAAACCATTTTCACTTTGACTGTGGGCCTCACAGAATGACCCTGGACCAGCTAAAGGTCAAAGGCTAAAGGTTCCAGGTCAGATTTTGGTGTAAGTTTAATTTGATTCCTGAAGTATACAAAGAAAACTACAGCAGTTCTTGGAAAAAGTTCCTGAAGTGGAAACGCTCCTACAGCTAACTTTAACGTTGTTGGAAGTGAAGCAGGAGAGGCATGATGGGTATTTTGTCCATGTGATGTTTGTATGTTTTCCCTGTGAACATGTGGAATTTCTTCAGCCACTCCAGTTTCCTCCCATTGTCCCAAAAACACGCGCTGCTGCTGTTGACTCTGCAGCGATGTGGGTATGCACGGCTGTCTCCAGTAGCAACGAAAGGTGCACGAGTGTTCCGTGAAAAGGTACAAACAAGAAGGTGAAACAATGCACCGACTGGTGGGCGTCCATCAGTTTGAAGTTCAGCCTTTACTCGAACTTAAAAACGGTAAAAAACTCACATTGTTGTTGATTTTTTCCCCAACAGAATTTATTTAATGATTATGTAAAAATAGAATAAAAGCTAAAAAATGTAAAATGCATTTTTTTTCTTTATCATATTCAATATTAAGAAATTGAAGGAAAACACATCAAAACAAGTAAAAACCTAAAATCGATGAGAACAAGATAAAAAAATCTTTTTAGGGCATATTTGTTTCAGATCCAGATCCTAATTTAGATCCAAATTCGGATGCAAATCTAAATCCAGATTCATATGCAGAATCAAATCTAAATCCTTTTCTGGATCCAGATAAAATATAGATTCAAATAAAGACCAAGATTCAGATCTAAATTATAATCCAAATTTAGATCTATCTTTAAATATTTTTCTATTTGCAGATCCAGATCTAAAACCAAGTATGACGCCAGATCCAGATCTAAATCCAGATCTAAGTACAAACACTGATCCAGATCCAAATTTAGATCAGTCTCCAAATTCATATCTATATGCAGATCCAAACCAAAACCAGAACCAAATCTGGACCCAGATCCAGATCTGTGTTCAAATACAGATTCAGATTTGTATGCAGCTTTAAATCTAAATCATTTTCTGGATCCATAATCAGATTAAATTTAGATCCAAATAAAGACCAAAATCAGATCAAGATCCAGAACCAAAATTTAGATCCATCTTCAAATCTACTTTTATATGCAGATTCAGATGAAAAAACCAGAACCAAATATGAATCCAGATCTCAATCCAGATCTATGTTCAAATACTGATCCAGATATGCAGATCCAGATCAATATCCAGATCCAGATCTCAATCTAGACCCAAATTTATGTCCAAATACTGATCCAGGCCTAAGTTCAGATCCATCTCCATTGCCAGATCCTGATTAAAATCCAGATACAGATCCTAATGCAACTCCAGATGTACATCTAAATCCAAATCTGCCCCTGTATCTGGATAGTGATGCAGGGGACTGTTCTGGTCCTGCTGGACCTGACTGCAGCCTTTGATACTGTTGACCATCACCTGCTACTGGAGAGGCTGAGAGACTGGGTAGGCCTATCAGGATCTGCTCTGGAGTGGTTCTCCTCTTATCTCTCTGAGCGCTCCTTTTCTGTGGCCGTCTCCAAGTTTAGGTCCTCCACCACCTCTTTTACCCATGCTGTCCCACAAGGTTCTGTGCTGGGGCCTATGCTCTTCCTTCTCAATCTGCTTCCTCTTCAGCACATCCTGAGCTCCTTCAAAGGAATCTCCTACCATCTTTATGCAGGTGACATCCAACTGTACATCTCCTTTAAGCCCCATGAGATGTCTAAGCTGCAGCTGTTACACACCTGCTTAGACTCTATCAGAACCTGGATGGCTGGGAGTTTTCTTCAGCTGAATGAAGATAAGACTGAGATCCTCATCTGTGTCCCAGACAAGCTGGTTCCCAAAGTCAGAGACTCTCTTGGTCAGCTTGCTTCCCACACCAAACCTTCTGTCAGGAATCTTGGCGTGACCTTTGACCCAGCTCTCACCCTGGATTCTCATGTCAGTTCTCTTGTTCGCTCTTCCTTCTTCCATCTCAGGAACATTGCTAAGCTGAGTCCCATTCTGTCCCGCTCTGAACTTGAGAAAGTTCTCCACACCTTCATCTCCTCACGCTTAGCCCCCAGAAACCCAAATTTAGAAAACAACTGCAAAATCTTTTTTTTAACCTTTCACATGTTGTTCTAGGAGGCCAGATAAACAGGCCTATTTACACATTTTAACAGTCAATAGTGTTGCAGAACTGAACAATAGGACCTATTAGCAATGTAAATGTGGTTTTAAAATGAAAAAAAAAATGGGGAAGGTTTATTTTTGTAGACTTAAATCTGATGTTGTAATATTACAACCGTGGGTCTCTGGGGGTTAGACTACTGTAACTCTCTTTTCACGTGTCTGAGCAGAACCTCCCTGAACCGTCTACAGGTGGTTCAGAACACCTGTGCTCGGCCTCTGACCAAGTCCTCCAAACACACCCACATCA